TTATTATTATTATTATTATTATTATTATTATTATTATTATTATTATTCTAAGATAAATGTCTCAGAGCTCAATCAGGCCATCAGAAAATAAGTCAAAAGTGAGTGTTTTTTTTTATTTTTGACAAGGACAATCAGGTGGATTAATTAATGATAATAGTAATTAAAAAATGAATGTATTATTAGAAAAAATTATTATTAACATTAACACTATCCTGCTATGAGGCCAAGAGGTCAAAGGTCAAAGAGAAAATCAGGATCCTGGTACAGAAACTCAGCGTCTTCCATCAGAACAGGAAATCAGGAGGGGAAATTAGGTATAAAAGAAAATACAAAAAGGCAGAAAAAGTGAAACAGAAATTAAAATAAGAACTTAAACTTATGTTATAAAGGGTCCAGAAACAAGATACATTCAGATATTTAAGAGCACCTAATTACAGTAATACAAGTGAAAACCGCAGAAAAGGGAAGTGAGGACAGAGAAAACTGTAAAATATCTTAATTTTCACACATAAACGTTCAAATATTGCTTTATTGACTATTTGTTTTTTCTCCTTTCAGAGCACAATTGTAAGGAGCAAAGTAAGTATTCACTCACTAGTAAACGGTCTTCAGTAGTTTATAATTAATGTACTAATCACTACACAATCCCACAAATTCAGACACTGATCACAAACACAGTAAACAAATGTGATGTTTCCATATCTTTGTTTCAGTGTCCAGAGCCAAAGGCCTGTCTCTGTCGGAAAGGGGAGATGGGTCATCCTGGAAGTCCGGTAGGTCCAAAAAACGCTGGTTCTTATCTATGTTGTTTTATTATTTTAAAAAATATACATTTATTTATTCAGGGTGTCACTATAGAAAGTGACCGTACCACTAAAGGCCACTTTAGTTTGACACAGTTTGACCCTTTTTTACCGGTCAGTGAGTCGGTTTTACCTCTTAGAAAGAGTCTGTCTGGGGAATTACTACAGAAAAGTGCTAAAAAAATTAACTATTTACATATTTGGTTGCATTTTCATGAGATGTTAATCAAATGTGAAAACTGATTTTAAACACTCCAGATTCTTAAATACATTTTTTATTTTCAGATTGTAAAATTCTTTAAAATGGACCCCCAGTCATCACAATCTGGAATAACTGCTTAACTAAATAACTCAACATACAATTATTTTGAGTTATTCAGACTTTGAAATTCTGTTTTATTTAAACAGGGGGCCAATGAAGAGAAGCTAAACAATGTAAAAATAAATAAATACAGAAATACATAAATATGTTTAAATAAATATAATATATAATATAAAATAAATATAATATAATATAATATAATATAATATAATATAATATAATATAATATAATATAATAAATATATGATGTCATGGTACTAGTAAAGCATTATACTACATTATATTATATTATATTATATTATACTATAGATAGATAGATAGATAGATAGATAGATAGATAGATAGATAGATA